GCTCAGGTCATGATCCCAGGGTCCTGGGATCGAGTCCCACATCGGGCTCCCTGCTCTGCGGGAAGCCTGCTTCTCCCTCTCCCACTCCCCTGGCTTGTGTTCCTGCTCTCGCTATGTCTCTCTCTGTCAAATAAATAAATGAAATCTTAAAAAAAAAAAAAAACCAAAAAAACTTGATTTGAGCAAATCCCCCAAACAAAACAAAACAAAAAAACCAACCCCCTCTTCTAAAAAGGATTCAAAGACTAGATCTAGCATAAGTATACCAAGGACAAAGGATTAGTAATAAAAAAAGCACGAAAAAATTTCAAATTCAATTTTTCTCTTGGTGATTCATGACCATATGACCATATTAAAGGCTTAGACACCAGATTTCTTTCATGGAAAAATAAACTGAGGATGACAGGAAGTTTTAGCATATGATTAACCACTAAGTTTCCCTTCACTACCATTTGGGAAATGGCAAGCAAGAGTATAGTGGGTTCCGGGGCAAGTTACTGATGGGTCTCACCAAAAAATGGGTTCAGACCTTACATTTTATACCCTCTTTCCTGCCTCAGATCCTCTGCATATGCTGTTCCCTGTGCCTGGCTGCAGTGTGTATAATCCCATTTTTGTAAAAGCTAGGGAAAAAAAAAGTACTTCTGTTTACACATGTAATAGCCATGGATGTGTATGTACTAAACTGTTAGCACTCGTTACTTCAAGAGAGTCGGCCTGGGGCAGGGCAGTAGTAAAATACTATTTCCGTGTAGGTCTCTTTTCTATGCCACATGTGAGGGTGTTCTTTTTTTTTTTTTTTTTTTAAAACAGTATAAGAAAAAGGGAATGCCACCCACAGCCACTGCTGTGAAGTAACTAGAAGCCTACAAACCCCTGAGTCTTCTGGTGCCAGTCAGCATGGATGAGGTTGGAGGTGTGGATGACAACCCGGAGGCCTTCTTCGTACAGCAGTAACATCATTTTCCTTTAAGAACAGAGAAGAGACCAAAAGCATTAACACTACTTTTAAAATATGTACTATTTTTCTAGTGCAAATATCACAGCTAAAGGATTTCTTAGACCCTTCTAATACTCAAACTTAACATTTATAATCTTCATTTCTTCTACACATTATTAAAATCAAAGTCTATTTAAGAGATAGGTAGAAAACCACCTTCCAAAATGCTCTGAGTATCAGTAAATGAATTTTTGCCTCATCCTGCCCACATGGTCAAGCCTGACACTCCAAGCCCTTACCCTTATCTATTATCTGCTACTATTCGGGACGATGGAAAGCTTCTTGTCCAGTGTTTTTCAAAGTATGGTCACAACCTTCTGCTACATCATGGCTAGCATTTTTTTAGGAAGTTGCAATAAAGGGGCGCCTGGGTGGCTTAGTCAGTTAAGCATCTGACTCGATTTTGGCTTAGGTCATGATCTCAGGGTTGTTAGGATCAAGCCCCACGCTGGGCTCTGTGCTCAACAGAGAGTCTGCTTAAGATTCTCTCTCCTTCTGCCCCTCCTGCTTACGCTCTCTAAAATACATATTTCTTAAAAAAATTGCAATGAAGTTAGAAACTGAAAAATATATTGTAGATACTTAAATAACTGGTTTTAGCACATGAGTATGGACACGTGTAACAGACTAAAATGTACGCTGTATTTTTTAATGTGAGCTGCGGCTTAGAAAAGTTTGAAAATGCTTCACTATCCTAAGACTGATCTTTTCTCATACTCCACAAATGCCATACTCATCACCAATGCATTTCTGGCCTTGAAATAAACCTTTCCTTTTCTTCATTTACTCAAATCAGACCCAGTTGAATCCTCCCTTTGCCACGGGCCTTCCTTCCCCAGGCCTCCAGTCATCAGAGTTCTCATATTTTAATTCTAGCGAGAGAAGGAATAGGATACAAATAAGAGCTTTCTACTTGAAGCTGAAAGACCTGTTCCAATCATCAGTTGGAGGCCATAGGACCCTAAGGAAGTCACTCTGTCCCTCAGTTTCTCATTTACAAAACGAAGGGTAAACCCCTTCCCTGCTGCATAGGGTTGCGAGAAGGAAATGTAACATGCGTTCGTGAAACAAACTCTCACACGTGTGCATTTCCAGGACTCCTTCAGTGTCTTGCTTCATTTTTTCATCTACTGCTGGAGGGCTTTTGGCCTCCCAATTGTTTCCTAATTATTTCAGGAATCTAAGTTCTCTCCCTGTAACTAGAAATTCACTCCTCAAGACAGTCACTCTGCCTTATTTCCACTGGGGCCAAAATGCTACTTAATACCTACTGATGTCAGTTCACGCGTGGGGGGCGAAATGAACCACTGGTTCTCTCCAAACCAACAATACCGTGAACAGTATTTGGACAGGATGAGGTTAACATAAAAAAAATAATGCAAAGAATAGACAATGAGATATTTAGCTCTTGCCAAAATGAGAAGTTAACTGAAGCTGGCAAACAGTAAGTTAATGCAAAGCTGGAGAAGTGACAGCTGCTGAACCCATCTTTTCTCCATTTATGAAACGTGCTCCCTGAAATCTGGGCAGATTTACACACACAGTTGCCAAATTAGCAGCTGACTGTAATTAAGAATAAGGCCAGTTATGAATTCAAGATGTAAGTTTCACAAATATTTCCATTAATCAAGGCATCAATTATCAGGAAAATCATGTACTGCTGTCAGTGAATCCTACCCAACGGAATTGGGAACTATTCTAAGGAGAGCCATCATCTCGGACAAAATGGCATGAGCTAATAAAAATCACAATTAAAAATGGATAAAGGATAAGAAAGGGGGTCTCCCTTGAAGAAACGCTGCCCTCCCTATCACCTGTTAAGTTGTGGGGGCAGCAAAAGGGATTATTTCCCAATCTGGAGCTACTCGTGTAAAGCGGGGAGAACACAAAGGTCTGCAGAGCACCTACGTGCCAGGCACGCCAGCAGTTCTCCAGAACAGCAACACACCAAATCCCCACAGCAATCCAGGAGGTGTTAACAGTCGCCTTCTACAACTGCAGAATCTACGGCTGGGTAGGCAATGGGAATGATCAAGGTTCCCGAATGAGCCAGAACTTGTCTGGACCACATGGGCTGGGATCTTTCTCTCACTGTGCACAGTTTCCACAGGGAAGAACGGGGCCGAGGACACTTCACACAACTGGTGAGTGGGTGGACGGGCAGACAATATGGTCTAGGGGAGATGAAGGACTAAGTCATGTGTGCTGGGTGGCCGGCTACAGAAGCAAGCAGAAAGGGGTGCCTTGACCACCCTGCAGTCTGCCACTGGCTCCCAGTTAGACATTCCCATTTGGCAGCTTTGGCTTCCTTCCTTCCCCGCTATTGATTCTCAGGGCCAGAAGTACTTTTGCTCCCAGCTCTGGGGGACACTGTAAAGCTTCCAAATTCTAAAGCACTGGGTGACAGGCCCTGGGACTGCATGGCATCCTACAGAAACATGGATAAAGCACATTTATTGTACCTAACAGGGATGATGATGATGGGGGCTACATCTTGGTGGTCTTCGGATGCTCTGTGCACAGTACATGGTCAATACATGCTTGCTAAAGTGAACGTCAAAGACTACTCCCTATTTACTGCAGTAGCTACACTCTCAAGTTGGGGAGGCACGTGACACCCCAGCACCAGGAGCTGGAAGGTTTCCTCCTCTAACTCCTATAATTTCGCCTCTCACCCAAACACTAAGAGCTAGAAGAACTATTAAGTCTCAAAACACTAGAACTGTGTCTCAATATTTAATGAATTCTTTAAAAAAATTTTTTAAACGAGCAACTGAGTAACTTCAAGACATGAGTTTAATCTCCTACAAGATACTGGCATTTTAACAATATGTAAACTACACAGACTATGTGGCTGGGAAGGACTCTGTTGTAACTGCTTCCCTAGGCATTTACAACTCCAAGTGAGTAACTCTGCTGGGTTCAACCCGCTAAGTGTGTGTGTGTAACAGGGGTGAGGTGGAAGAGTAGACCAAAGGAAACTAGCTGTTTTAGCTGTAAACAAACGAGAATAAAAACTTAAATGAGTTCTAGTCCTGTCTTCAACAATAGCTAGAAGGTAACTGCTTATCTACTAAGGACCTCTATATAATGAAAAGGAAGGACCAAATAATTTGTTAAATAGCATAAGAAAAAAGGATAGCCCCTCTAGGATCAATCAAATGTCACTGTGCTAGATCCTGGCCAGGCCCAACACGCTCAGTCCCTCACAAGACTTACAGTGTAACTGAAATGAAGATGGAAGACACAGGCTCTCCTATGTGCCAGCACGTAACTGCAGCATGGTTACACCCAATGTGGACTGCTGGCTCAGAATGTGTGGCTAGTGCAGGAAGCTGGCACTAAGGATCTAGCAAATCATGTCCAGGGCCCAAATGGGGGGCAGTATTTTAGAATCAGTAAGGTATTTATGCTAGGGGTCCAGCTAAGGGCAGTGGGCTAGGATCCATTCAGTGCTATCCACTGCTGGCAGAATGTCTACCTAGGACAGGTTGACTATTGCCATCCACCACCAGGCTCTCCTGTGATGCAGGGAGGGGAGTCTAAGATACCTATTCAGTCTATTCAAGGCTATTTTGTATCCTTTGCTGAAGTTAGCATCCTGTGACCTCAGTGCTACATAAAGAGTTTATACCTGAGCTAAATGCTTAAAGTTTACAACAATCCTCAAACCCTATCCTGTTAGAGGCTACTAATTAGGGATGGCTGGTAAACACTGCAACATTTACTCAAGGGGATCTAAGACCAGATAATGTAGGGTTGAAAGGCATCCTTTTATGAAATGGCTCAACTCTTCCCACTCTGGTTCCTTTTTAAAACAGGCTGTATGCTTCAAACTGTATTTTGCTAAAGAAAGATGAACACATTTCCTTATTTCAAGTCACCATAACATCAAGAAAACAATGGCCACAGCAAGACTCAGGACTAACATTCCTCCTATGAGATCCCTTGTTGCCCTAGAGATGGACACCTGAAGGAATCTGCTTGCAATACCAACCCATTTCCACCACTGGTCTCAAAGATGAGGCTTTGTCACATTCTTTTGACAAATCCTTTCTAGAGAAATGTGATTTATAAAAATATTGAAAGAGGGACAACCATATCTTATTCTTTTTCTCATTTATAGAATTATGTAAAAAGGCTCAAACAGCTGTAAGACTCATGGCAGCAGAACAGGAGTCAAACTGATCATTAGGTACGTATCAGGTAGGAAGTAATAGTTTTTCCTGTCTGGTTTACAACATCTCAAAATTATTCTAAAAGGAACTTCTCAGAAGTCTTGAGCAGGGATAGGCAGCAGCCTCTCAAGTTAACTTTGTAAAATAGCTTTTCTTTCTATCACAGCATGAGGCTGACCTAACAATATTCTATTTAATGCAACTCAGCACCTTAAGAGATCACCACTTTTTTTTTTAAGGTAGTAGAATCCACAGACTCATGACTGACACGTACAGTCATCCATAACCATGGACCACACAACCAACAAATATTCCCCCCAAGCTGGCTATAAGAAATGTCCTGAATAGAAAGAAAGCAGAAACCACATCACAGATTCAGATTTTCATGTTGATAGCCAGAATCCCAGGACTTTGTTTTAAGGCCATTAGTAAACAGTTCCACTGCCTCTACTTTTTACTGCCAGATTCTTTTCCCTGGCAAAACTGTCACCTGTGAGTTCCTTCAAAAGCACTTTTGGAGTTGCCTCCTTGGCTCTACTAAAAATCATACCCTCCCCCATCTCAAAAAATTTGCTTACGTGTGGTGTGTTCCAAATGCAATATCCAACTTTGCCTAGGATGAAAAAGAAGTTGAGTCACTTATTTTTAACAAACCAAATATCCCTATCTATTGGAAATTAAGTTAGAAAAGGTTCAGGTCCACTTTGTTTTGAGTTGTCTTTACTGCCCTCTAGTGGACAAGCCCTGGACTGACACTACAACTTTTATAATCCTACCCAGTGAGGCTCATTAAGACTTTGTTAGCCAGAATGATTTGATACATACTCCATTTTTAATTACAGTAATCAGAAGCAAGAACCCAGATATTAGTTGCCAAAAAAACCAAATGAGACCCTATGCAAAATTTTAAGATATTTGGCTTATACAGAAATTAACATATCAGAAAGTTTCTAGACCATATATTAAAAAAAATGTGGTAGCAGCATACATTGATGTTAAAACAGAAGTTCTCATATTGACAACCTAGCAAGTGCTGAAAAGAGATAATGTATTCAATCTATTTCCTATTACAAAATGATACCTTTACAAACAAACAGGAGTGGGTGGAGAATTAAAACATTTTTATCTAACATCCAGTACAGCAAGACCTTGGTTAAGCAGAATATGCCTGAAGATGTAGGCTATGAAAGAGTTAAACAGAAATGCCAAACCAGCTCAACAGTGAGGAATGCGGGTGTAGGGACACAAATCCCATCCTTACAACTCTGGGCCACTTTGAAAAATACTTAAGTCTCTATGCCTCGTCTTCCTCCTCTTTACAATGAGGGTGCTGTTAGGGGATTCAGAGTTTTAGGAGCAAAGGAGACAATTACATGAACTGTCTAGAAAATAGGGCCTGCATGGGGTAAGCACTCTACAAATGGAACCAAGTGCTACTATAATCAAGCTCCCTGCCCCAACAGGGCAGAGGGATGGACCTGTATGCTGGAGGCAGAAAGAGGCAATTGGAACACAGGGGAGTATGACACAGCCCATCTTGGGGATGCTCAGACAGGTGGCCCCACTCACTACATTCTTAAGCTCAGTATTTGGGGACACTCACAGACCAGATTCACTTGTATGTTCTGGCTACACAAATGAAGAGAGATCAGGGAATAGTAGGTCTTTAAAATTACACAATTAGAATGAAAATTGCCTCTCTGTAAACTGATACTTAGCTCCAAAAATGCAATGGTCAAGAGACTTGGCTTCCGAGTTTAGTTTTGCTATAAGCTGTTTGCTCTTGGGCAAGTCTAAGCACAAGGATATTAACTTGAATAGGTAATAGTTAATGGATGCTTTTTGGGCAAATGCACCAAATCCTTGGCACAAAAACCCAGTGAAAAAGACTATTAGCAACCCATCTTAAAGATAAACAAATTAGGCTTACAGAAGTGATGGGCCCAGAAGGACATAGTGGGTAGAGAACTGCAGAACCCAAGCAGTTTGAACCTTGACCACCACAAGGCCTCAATCTCTGGCCTCAGGTCCCATATGTGCAAAATGGGAGCATCTGCTGCTTCTTTGACTAGTATGCCTCAGCTTCATCAAGTAACACTATGCTGCCCCCCCCCCAAAAAACCCAAGAATTCATTTTACAGACAAGATGTAGCAATATTTCAACAGGTCAGGATGGGGCCACAAATCTATACTTCAGACTAGAAATGGGACCATCTGAAAATCTCCTCACTCGCGGGAAAGATGACCACGCCCTCTAGTGGCGGGCCTGGAGCACACCACCACACATGCCACACACTCGCCCTACTTTTCAGTACAAGGAGCTAGTATCTGAAAAAGACTATTTCCATTGATTTAATGACTGGTTTTTAGGATTCCTGTGTTATCTTCCACCCACAATTAGTCTTATGAGTATTATCCTACTGCAGTTAAACCTCCTCTTTTGGAAGCAAAAGCAAACCATGGGATTTTAGGCAACCGCCAAGCAGAGGCTTACCTAGGTGTAGAAGGTGAGCCACAAATATGTTGGATAAGAGTGACTGTTTTAAAACTCCAACTATATAGGGCGCCTGGGTGGCTCAGTTGGTTAAGCGACTGCCTTCAGCTCAGGTCATGATCCTGGATCCTGGGATCGAGTCCCTCAGCGGGGAGTCTGCTTCTCCCTCTGACCCTCCCCCCTCTCATGCTCTATCTCATTCTCTCTCTTAAATAAATAAAATCTTAAAAAAAAAAGATTAAAACTCCAACTATATAAAGTACTGTGGGTTAAATCATAGGAAAAATTTAAGACCAGTTTAAGGTTGATCCGACTGAGGTTTCTCCCTTTGAATGTTTAAAAATAACCACATATACACAGATAACGTTTTATAGTTGAAAGAAAATCAAAATGAGTTGGAATTCTTACATCTTATATGGACAGGGAGAAAAAAACACAAGAAAATGGAGAAAAATCATCTAGGTTCTGTGTAGTTCACTCTTGTCAATGCACTCCAAGGGCAGAAATCTGGAGGCCATCTCCCTCTGGCAAGCAGAGAAAGGGGCTATGGAAGTATCTTACTGTGGCTGCTTGGAAATGGACTGCCCAGCACTAAAACAGGTCAGTACGACACTAGCCACTTCACAGCCACCATTTCCACAGGAAGGAAATCCTTGCTTTTCTCTCCCCAGTGTGCCAGTTTCTTGCACGAAATGCCACACACAATATTCTCTTCAAGGTGGAATCAAAAGCAACCAGTGATGATAACGGAAGTCCAAGACTTCAAGTGTATTTCCATGTATGGACTGAAGAGCATTAGGACAGAATTCTAGGATTATAACAAAAACCTGGGCAACAACTTTCTGGCCTTTTCTGCTCTGCTTTGGTCCCAGCAAACCAAGCAGATACACCTGTTACAAGACCATTTAACATCTCCCCATCAGGCGTGGATCATTTGCAGCTCGATTCACACAGGCAGTTTCCTAACAGGTTTGCTTTTAATTTGTCCATCTCCCCAGTATAGACCTTGGCCGCAATTCACGTGAAAAAGATCAGAGGACTACGGGTCAAGGGTCAACAGCAGCTACTACCAGTCAGATAAGTTGTCAAAATAAGAAGTTTTAAGCTGCACTCAGAAAGCAGCAGCCACTGAATTCCATCCAGAAAACCTGGTTAGGTTCGAGAAGGACACTGACAAACTAGATGCAAACAGAGGAGTACTGGCAGGTTGGGGGAAGATAGGGATTCTTGTTACAAGTACAACTTAAGAAACCATGCTCGAACCTGAAAGAAAACTAAGGAGGTACAATAGAGGACTTCACATACAAGCATCAGTCACATCTGAGATGAGATTTACTCTATGTGGCTCCAGAGAAGGGAAATCAGGACCCAAACGTGAAAGGTAAAAGGAGATGGTGAGGATTTATTTTTTGTTTCGACTTGGCTAGGTCACAGAACCCAGATACCTGGTCAGATATTGCCATGAAGGTTATTTTTAGATGAGGTTGACATTTAAATTAGTAGACGGAGTAAAACCGATTACCCTTTGTTTGTGGACCTCATCCAGTCAGTTGAAGGCCTAAGAAAAAAAGACCAACTCTGTCAAGGAAGAGGGAACTCAGTCTTCAGACTATCTTTGGACCTGAGCTACAGACCTACTCTCTTCTGGGTCTCCAACCCGCAGGCCTATCCTACAAAGTTTGGACTTGCCAGTCCCCACAATCATGTGAGCCAATTCTTTTCAAAGAAGTCTTTCTACACACATATACATACCCTATCAGTTCTGTTTCTCTGGAGAACCCTGACAAATACAGAGACATCAGGTCAACATAAAGAAAAATCCTTCCAACCACAAGGGCTACCCACACACAGATGGGCTCTCTCAGGAAGTATTTAAGTTAAGGCTAGACAAGTATCCATTGGTGATACTAAAAAAAGGATTCTCGCTCTAGGTGGGTGGATAGACTAAATGTCTAAATTTCTTTCCAACTCTCAGACTAAGCAGGATCTCAAACAGCAATAAGCAGCCTACCTGGCAAAGGGAAATGTTTTCATAAGGCTTGGCCTGGGCATGTAAGTGAGCCTTAGCTTCTCGTTTATCTCCATGCACAAGCAGGATTGGTTTCTTCCTGAAAACAGATCAGAAGTATTTAGAATACATCTTTTATAAAGCTGGACTCTTGACTAGTTAAAGAATGCTAGGTGTTTCCTTACCACCAGACAAGTGTTTCTGGCCTCTGTGGTCACGGAGTACAGAGCTAACACATAGCACTATTCAGTTAATCTCCACTAGCCAGTTAACTTTACAACAGGGTCATGTGGCCTGATCCCAAAGCTCTGTTGTGGCCCAGAGAGGTTGTGACTCGAGGAAGTCCCTGAGTAATTATCTTCTTTGATCCAAAAGAACATAAAGTTAGCTCTGTGTTCATGTTTTCAGGTTCAGATTACAAGATAAACATTTATTGTTATCTAGTATGATGCTCTTTTCTTTCCCTTTCTTTAGACCAAGCAAAGAGCATTTCCTCATTAGACCTATATTCACTAAACTCCTACTGTGTGCTAGGTATGGCAGTCCCCCAAGATCCAAGAGTGAACAAGCCCAGGCCCACGGCATGATGCAGACTAACAGGTTGTTATATTTCAATGAAACAAGGCATTCTGTGGCTGAGTCCTGCTCAATGAAATACAAGCAGGTGTTGTGTAGGACTTCCAGGAGACTACTCAGAGGAAGCACAGCTGGGATGTGGCCCTTTTGTCCTTTCTCCCTCCTGCCATCTGGACCACAGACCAGAGACCTGGAGCCCCAGGTGCTATCCTGGACCATGAAGGGACTTTGAAGATATGCACCAAGATGGTGGGACAGAAAGACAGAATGGGTGAATAAGTTCCTGAGAACCATAGTAGCCCCCAATCTAGACCACAAATATCTACCATCTGAACTTCTTAGGTTGGAGAAATCATTTTCTTTCATTTAAGCCACGGTTATTTTTGCTTTTCTGTTACATATTGTGAAAACTAATCCTATGTGTTACAGGTCAAATACAAGCCTTTGTGTGTCAAAGCCACTTGGGAAATTTCAATAGCATTTTACCTACTATTAATAAAGTTTCTAGAATCTGAGATCCTAAATGCACCAAGGACTTTGACAATCATTCTGTGGGTATATTCCTTTACCTTACTTGCTGTTAGGGGTTTTGCTAGGTGAATGTTAAAAACAGGACAGGTGGGGGCACCTGGGTGGCTCAGTCGTTAAGCGTCTGCCTTCGGCTCAGGTCATGATCCCGGGGTCCCGGGATCGAGTCCCACATCGGGCTCCCTGCTCGGCGGGAGGCCTGCTTCTCCCTCTCCCACTCCCCCTGCTTGTGTTCCTGCTCTTGCTGTCTCTGTCAAATAAATAAAATCTTTAAAAAAAAAAACAAAAAAACAAAAAAAAAACAGGACAGGTGGCAGGGCACTGTACAATGCTATCTTTATCTGGTCTACACTGCCTAACACCAGGCTGAGGAACTGTAGAAGACAAGCTGAAAAATCCATCACCTCCATAATCTGGATAAGGGAAGCTCTAAGACCCCCTTCACTAGCTCCTAAACCACAGGAAGAATCATTTGCAAAGCAAAGATTCTTTGAACATGGGCACCTAGGTAGCTCAGTCAGCTAAGCGTCTGCCTTTGGCTCAGGTCGTGATGCTGGGGTCCTGGGATCGAGTCCTGCATCAGGCTCCCTGCTCAGTGGGGAGTCTACTTCTTCTCTCCCTCTACCTGCTGCTCTCCCACTTATGCACTCGTGCGCAAATAAAACCTTAAAAAAAAATTCTTTGAACAGCACTGCTGTATTAAGTGTGGCATGCTTACACATCTAGAAAGCAGGTAGCAATGATCTTTTCCTTCACATTAATATCAAAGTTGTCTTGGGGCACCTGAGTGGCTCAGTCATTAAGCATCTGCCTTCGGCTCAGGTCATGGTCCCAGGGTCCTGGGATTGAGCCCCATGTCGGGGTCCCTGCTCCGCGGGAGGCCTGCTTTTCCCTCTCCCACTCCCCCTGCTTGTGTTCCCTCTCTCACTATGTCTCTGTCAAGTAAATAAAATCTTAAAAAAAGCTATCAAAGTTGTCTTTTTTTTTTTTAAAGATTTATTTATTTGAGAGAGCGAGAATGAGAGAGAGAGTACATGAGAGGCGGGAGGGTCAGTGGGAGAAGCAGACTCCCCGTTGAGCAGGGAGCCCGATGCGGGACTCGATCCTGCGACTCCAGGATCATGACCTGAGCCGAAGGCACTCGCTTAACCATCAAAGTTGTCTTTAGATTGCTTTGTCCTTATCTACTTCTGGAAAGAGCAAAAGAGGCAAATGCTAAAACCCGTATTAGGAATGCATGTGACTACTTAGACTAGATCAACAAATGCTGTTTTCCCTATATAACTAAGTTTGTAGGATTTCAATAGTTTCAAAAGAAATACTCGAGAAAGATGAACAGCAGTTGCCTGAGAAACACTAATCTTGCATTTTAAATCCCCATTACAGTTAGGATGTTATGTTATCCTGTGGTACTCACCTAAACTCTGGTGGATACTGTTTTATGAGCCAGTCCACGTCAAAGCAGTAGTTAAACTAGATGGGGAAAGAAAAGGATGGAGTTATGGGTAACTTAGGCAAGCAATCTGTAAGAACAGTTTGGTTATTGAAAGAAACTCTAGAGTAATGACAAACTCCAAATATTTATAAACCTGGACAATTGTGCTACAATACTCAAGCCTTGACGGGAATTCCGCATTCAAGGAAACAGATTCTAAAGAAAGGATCCCACAGGCTTCGGCAGTATTTGTATTTCTAAATAGTCTTACTACATATTTCTAGAACCCTCTGATTAATTTAAATAAAAGGACTTACAATTTTATCCCTTTTCCCCTAGATGATTATAAAAAAGACTTTTAGAAAAAAACATTTCCTTTCAGCCTAACTTATGAGCTAGCTTTGTGAACAGGCCTCTGGGACTGGACATTCACTAGGCTTAGAACAATTACATCTTGACTACAAGTTCTGCACTGAACTAACCCATGGGGGCTCCTCCCCATGCCCGGGTAATCCCTGGCCCTCCCCCTCCAATCTAGCTAAAAGAACACAAATTCACCCCATGTTCCATCTGGAGACTAGGATTCTGGAGGCCAAGTTGGACATAAAGCACACAGACAGCTTTGCTTTCTTCGTGGATGTGACCTGTTTTCTATTTCCTCAAGAGCCTGAAGCATTAACATAATCCATCAACACAAAGGGACCAGCTCTATAAAGCAGGAGCAACCAAACACAAAGAACTACACATAACTTTTATTCACTTCTTTTTGGTAGGCGTAGGAAACTGTTTTCTAAATCAAATCAAACAACTTGGCCTTCACCTGCCTACCCATACCTTCCCAGGAGTTGTACTAGAATCCCATGAGATTAACTGGGTCCCAAAAAGAAGTCCCTCAGGTTAGAATTCCCAACGTGACTTCCTGGCCAGTCCTTGTAACCCAATCCAGAGCCAGAAGCTCCACTGATCGTGGCATCCTTATTCCATGCTAATGGCTGGATACCACAACTGTGGCTCCTGGTGCCAGCCTCCTGGTATGGGCCATCTTGGGGACCCTGTACAGGACTGAGATAGGTCCTCACGCCTATTTTCTTATGGGGTTGTCCCTTTTCCCCCAAAGAAAAAAACCACCATATACTCACCTGAGCTGAAGACACAAGTGTCCCAAATAGAGGAGACAGAATATCTGAGAAGACAAAAAAACCATTTATATCTAATTCATTTTTTGATAAAAATCATCTGGTAAGAATCACAATTGACTTAGTCATTGACAATCAAAATTTGGCTGAGAAAACTGAAAGGACTACAAAGCTAGACTTTAATGTTCCATAAAATTCAAGAGAAAATTTGAGCTATTTAATATTTATTACGTTTTAACAAAATATAATATAAAACTAAAACCTCAATTTCAGAATTTGATGACTGGTCAATTTTAAAAACTTCCAGTAAGGACAATAAAGACATATTGGTTTTTTTTTTTTATTAAAAATTTAACAGAGCACACAAGCAGGGGGAGCAGTAGAGGGAGATGGAGAAGCAGACACCCTGCTGAGCAAGAAGCCCGACGCAGGACCCCAGGATCATGACCCAAGCCAAAGGCAGACGCTTAACCGACTGAGCCACCCAGGCGCCCCAACATATTGTTCTTTCCAGATCTTAATTTTTATCTCCTTCAAATCCCTCTCCGAGAAACCTCCCTAACCCAAGACTAACAAGATAGTCTTCTGGAGCCTGAGAGCACCTGCTTCCTGTGAAGGAGGGTCGAAGCACCCACAACCCCAAGCTCACATTTCTAGCATTCTAGGTCATCTTGAAGGGAGTTGCAACTCGCATCCATTCCAACTTGATTTCAAGTAAGATCAGAAAGCTCACTTCTCATAAATTGTACCAGGAGAGGAATTACACGGTTACCACCACTGATCGTTTAACTGCTGTACTCGTATCTCTTGGATGCCAGGCACTATTCTTACCACTGTCCCTGTATTCACTCTTCTTCACAGCCATTTTCTGAGCTGGAGTTGCTCATTCCCACTTTGTGGATGAGGGGTTTCCCCTTAGGAGGCTGTCCATGGCCACAAAGGGCTAGTCAGGATCTGAAGCCAGGTTATCTGGCTTCAGCACTTGTGCTCTTAACCATCAAACTGCCTGAGGATTAAGAGTAGGCTCCTTTGGGGCGCCTGGGGGG